GAAGCAGCAGCGGCAGCAGCGCCCGTCGGTGCCCGTCGATGCCCGGGGATGTGTCTGGCAGGTTTATTTTCCTTTTCTCTGAAGAGAAGGGGGAAGATGGAGGTGGAACCCCAGTCCTGGGGAGCCATCGGCTGGATGAAAAGTGTACCGGGAGATGGGAGGGTTTTTAATAATAGTTCTGCTGTGTAGTTCCCATCGCTTTTTCCCCAGGGGCATGAGGTACAGGGCAAACGTGAAAGCCCCACGCCTGGGCCCAGCTAAATCTGCAGAGGGAATAGTGAGTAAAAAATGGAGCACTAAGCTGAAAATAGAGAAGTTCAGAGATTGGCCTTTAGAAGCATTTATAGTTCACACTGGGGAGGGGACAGCACATACTGGTATCAGTTGATATCACACTAATTAAGCTAAATTTACTATGTTATTTATCTAGAGGCTTCAGATATCTGAGAAATTTTCTGAGAGCACACAGCAATAAATGTTTCCCAGTTAGTTTTTATGGCGGAAAAAACAGGTGTGTTTTAAAATGTGAAGTCCTCTGGCCTGTGTCTGACACGTTCTTAATTTGCTGCTTATCTGTAAAGGAGAGTTACCAAAGAGTTTGTTACCTCTGGCATGTATTCATGCCCTTTTTCTCTGTATAGCTTTGCGTTTTTTTCTTCCTCTGGTCTCCCCCTCTGTTTCAACACGTGTGCCATGCGAGAAAAATGGCATTTGGAGACTGGTAGGTATGAGCAGATGGGAAGACTCACTGCAGCTGCCCAGAGCTAAGCCGGACATGGATTCCGTCAGTCACACCAGGTTCTGGATGTGCCATGTACCTGTTAAGAACAGGTGTCAGCTCTGAAAACAGAGCAATAGAACCGCTTCGATATGTCCGTTTTGCGGCAGCCAGGGTGCCGCGCGCCTGGACTGCAGCGCGGCGTGGTGTGCGTCCTGCGGACGGGCAGCACAGCGCGTGCGGGAGCTTTGGGAATTGGCTGCTCGTCCCTCGGCAAGCCGTGCTGGGAACTAATATCTCCAGCAGCAACCCGAGTGTCCAGAGCTGCAGTTACAAATCTGGCCGTTTCAAGCAGGGTCTGGCTAAGCAGAAGCTGTGCGGTAAAGTCCAAGGACGGGTGTCAGTCCCGCTTCGGTCTTGTCAGCACTGTGGAAAAGTTGTGCCCTTCTACTTCTGAAGCAATTCCTGTGCGTGGCAATAGGCCTTAGTTGAGCAACTTTATAGAACAGCAGAGAAATGCTTATACAAAAAGAAGAAAAAACCAGCCCTCCTATGGCTCCCTCCTTCCCCTTGCCCCTCCACACGGAGTAGTGACTGGCCGTTGGGATTTGTGAGGAGGGGGCAAAGAATGCTAACAAAATGTATTTGCCCAGTTTTTGTGTCTAGCAGATACTCCAGTATACTAAAGAGCACTTTTTGGTGTCTTGAAAACCAATGTTGTTTCATCGATTTGTATGCCTGTCAAGCTCTTTTTTTTTCTCTTTTTAAAAGAATTAGTATCTTGAAGTAGGAGCTGCTCTGACAAGCACTTGTGTCCCGAAGTTAAACGTGCTTTGAGATCTCCCGAGGTGAAAAGAAGCCGAAGCAGTGCAGTATCTGCTCCCTAACTCTCATAAACAGCACAGATGCCACCGTGATGAGAACCTGATTACAACATTGCTGTCCCCTGACCCTCTTGCAACACTTTCTTAGTTTGTAGCATGCGGGATGCTGACTTGCCTCCCTCAGCCTTAAACCTTTGGCCTGTCTGTTTGAGTATAATATTTAGGGTGTTGAGTCTGTTTGCCCAGTTTGGATGGAGTTTTATGATTTTTATCAAAGTGCTCTGCAAAGTCTTGACATCCAGAGTTTGCCAGGAAGTTTCTTTTCTAACCTTTCTTTCCAGTATGCGACTTTAAAAAAAAATAAATATATAATTCCTACATATGGTATAATATAAATGAATATAAACATAAACAAATATATAAATGTAAAAGTGTGTGTGTAAATGTATGTCCTATATGTGTGACAAAAAATACTTTTATCTGGAGAGCAGGCTTTCCAAATTATCTTCTCAGCCATAATGGGATTAGTAGATGGTATCTTTCTAGAGGTGGCATAAGCATTTTCTTGCAAGTTGGGATTACTTCAAGTGCATTTAAATTGTAGGAAAGTGTTTTCCAATATTTCTTTTCTACAGTGAAGCACAGACTGTTTTTTGGAAAGAGAAAAAATTAGTGATCTGATGATAGGTTAATTTTTTGTGGGACTGAGTTAAAAAGGTTTTTAAGTTCCATCTAAAATAAACTCATGTTAAATGTAAATAGTATATGTTATTCTTACAAGAGTTGTTGAGGAAATTAGGGAGAGTTTGTGTCGTCTTTTCTATTGCTTAGTTATGTCATGCACCTGTTGCTGTTCAATTTGCAGTGCTCTCTGTTTACCATGGCAAAATGAGTACTCTGTGTGTTTCCAATTTTACAGTAATTTAGTCCCTCACATAATGTTCTTTGCTTAAATGTTTAGTAATTAGTAGAAACAAGGTAGAGTGGTTTTGACTGACTCATTTTTAGATCAGCTTGAGGATGTTTATTTTTCAAGCTACTACGAATACGGTGTTTTTCATTTTCCAGCTTTATTTTTTTAACTTGTGTATATCCATCACGCAGTGTTTTTCTTCTCTCTTCCCCACAGTTAGGATATATCCACCTACCCAAAAGTTCTATAAATAAATTTGAATGTCATGTAAAATTGTTTTCTTCTACGTAAGAGATGCTTGGCCTTCTGTGTATACGTGCTCAGAGCGCTGGTGACATCCAGTGGCTGCAAAACACTTAATGACAACGTTTTGCAACAGCGCAATAACATGCTCAGTGGTAATCCCTGCAGAGATAATTGGTCTAAGTCTACGGACAGAGTGGCTGTTTTTCATAGCTAGGTTGGAGCTGACCCAGTTGGTCTTTGGACAGTTGGACTCTCGGCTCCTTCTTTTTGAGAAACTGTCTGATGAGTGTCACTGCTCACATGTAACCTTAAACGAATGCTGCTGTAGTGTTAAAGGGGACTTAACAGTGATTTTCTTTTTTTTCTTTTTTCCTGTTCTTCAGGCCTTGCAGTTATGCACTCCCAAAGCACGAATCAGTTGGATGTGGGGAACAATCCCCGTGTGGGTACCAAACGGTACATGGCTCCGGAAGTCTTGGATGAAACTATCCAGGCAGACTGCTTTGACTCGTATAAAAGGGTCGATATCTGGGCTTTTGGGCTCGTCCTCTGGGAAGTAGCTAGACGCATGGTTAGCAACGGTAAGTATTTGGGGCTCCTTTGCTGCTTGTTAGAAGGGGTTAAGCAAATGATAGCTCACAGCAAAGCATCTGCTGCCAAAACGCATAGGATGCATAGCAAAATACTGGACCTCCAAAGTATTTTGATTCTGGACACTTTGCTGCCTGTGTTGAAGTTGTTGATATGTTGGGTACAATGGCAGAGTGTTATTGTCACTTCTGTTAAGGCAGAGAAGGAAGAGGGTCCCCTGCTACATCCCAAATCAAGAGGCAGTAGTCAGAGTGGCTCAAACTGAAGAATTGAGGGCACCTTTTTTTGATGGGAACTATTGCAAGTGAGAATTTGAGGGAAGACTTTGGAGGAAAGGACTAAAATAGCTTTGCAGCTGTTCTCCAAAAGCACCTGTTGAGAGCCAAAGGAGGGAGTATGAGCAGTTTTGTGGAGAGGAGCAGTGAGTGGACAGAGGTAGGCTGCCCAAGGGTATGGCAGGGAAGGCTCACGGTAGCTAATACAGAGTCATGTGAACAACTTACTCAGCTCAAGTTCTAGCGAAAATTACCATTTTGTTAAGCCTCGTGTCGTTTCTCATGCATCACCTCCCTTCCATTCCCCGACCTCAGTGGAAATCCTGTCCAAATGTGTTACCTTGGACTATGGGGGGTGGGGAGAGGACAGGCACATGTGCAACAGCTTTAGAAGCAAATAAATGTTGTTATTCTATTAAAGTACAGGACTACTCCTAAACATGAATCTTTGACTTCATCTGGTATCTGTTGGTGGCCAAAAAAATTTAACTGTGATTTAAAAGAAAAAAAGTATTATTGCCCTATTCAGGGTAATTCTCAGCACAGAGCCGCAGCAGCTAGTTGTCTCCAGAAACACTGCAGTGAGGCTTGTTAAGAGAAGGCTGCTGGAAGGTGGCATTTCTGAGAAGATTTGCAGACCTTCCAAGCTTGCTGGGAGATTCCCTGGGGCCTGGAGCACTGTCTCAAGCCCCTGTTTTCTCTCAGATACTTACAAGGTGCTTAAACAAAGCCGATTTGGAGGTAGCAAATGCATCAGGTAGGCTCAGGTGGCTTGTTTCAGTCTCCTTGTGAGCCTGAGAGCTTGCTTTGATAGCTCTGAAGAGATCCAAAATGAGTTCTCTGCCATCGAGAGAGCAGGGTAGTAATCTGTGTGGGTGCACAGCTGTTTTGGGGAGATGCAGTTCAACTTGCAGGGTCCATAGTGAGCAGCAGTCACGGGGCTGACCACAGGAGCAGAAGGGAACTTCCATTGGCTTTCCATGGAGTGGTTGGAGCTGAGCTCATGGCCTTGCCTTCCTTCTCCCTTCACTGTCAGAGGAGTTACTTGAAGACGTAAGCAGCAAAAGGAGTAGGTATTGTTCTGATACAAGAACGTACGTCAGCTGCATCAGTGTGATGGTGACCTCAGGTGAAGGCGTATGTAATTAGAGAAAGGAGGATGGTCTCGTGAATGCACAGTGGTAGTTTTTCTTCTGAGGTACTCTGCTGGCAAATGTACGTCCTAGGCAGTTCTGAAGACTTGCTCATTGCGTTTCCCAATATTTGGAGACCAATGGGTTGCAGTTTATGTCAGTGCAGGTGCCTCGAGAGCTTAAGCTGTGACTTGATGGTCCTCAGTGCAGTTTTATGTTCTGCACTTTGTCTCAGTGGTCTGAGAGTGCTGTAGTCTGCCAGGCGCCGCAACACGATCGGTTTGCTGTGCAGGGATTGATTAACTCACTGTGCCATGGGTGGTGCTCGCTGGATGGAAAGGGAAGCCAGTGCCTGAGGAGCCAGCGGGTCTTCCTCCGTGCTGCCTGCCGAGGGGCTGCGCTCGTGGCTGTGGGTGATGGGACCAGCAGCACTGACGGGGTGCGTGCTTACACGTGGGCAGCGTGTGGAGTGCAGTCTGAACGTAGCAGTTGGCCTTGGTGATGACAAAACTTCACGTGTAAGCTTTTGAGAAGTTTGGTTTTATCGCCAGTCTGAAATTTTGAGTAGTTCATCTGGACTCTGTCTTGCCACAGTGGTGTTTTGGAGGCCGGTAGTCCTTTGTGGAATAGTAGGTGTCTTGCTCTCTTTGTATGTGAATATACCTCTGTACTTGTGTGTGTGTGTACTGTACGTAATGTGTATTAAAAATACACACACTCTTAGCTAGTTACCTCTTGAAATGAGAATTCCATGAAATAGTACCTGTGACTTAAATATTCCTGTGCAGATTTGATACATATGTATTGCTGCAGTAACTGCAGTTCACAGACAGTTCACCTGAGCTGCTTTTGGACTAGAGAGCTTGGATTGTGCTGGCAGCGCCACCGAGGTGGCGTGAAGCTCCGCACGGGCTGCAGACCTGCCAACGGCCGTAGGTAGATGCCTCAGCAGTTTGATGGGGCTGAGCTCAGTGCCGCTGCAGAAGCACAGGTACGTCGTGACGTTGGTCCTGTCTGTAAGGTCTGAAGGTTAAGACAACGGTGATACTAATTCCACAGTACTTATTTCCAGTTGCTCCGTATTTCTGGCTGTTGCCGTAAGTAATTACGCTTCCTTGCACTGGTTTGAAATGGAGTAAACGTTTTCTCTCAAATCCGGGTGTTGAGCTGTGTGGGAATCATTACCCCATCGGGTGGTCCCTCCGATAACCCTGTTTGGTTTGTAGTAAGACTTTGGCACAGGGAGTGAGCATGCTGGGGTCAAGGTAGCGCGCTTGTGTGAACTGGGTGATGGTGTATCTTAGGGGGCCTGGAGGCGCTTCTCAGATGTGCATCAGAAACTTCTGCTGCTGTCCCGTGCTGATGGACACTTGTCATCTCACGTTGACTCGCTGGAAATGTAAAGTTTATTCCATTGACTCAGCCTGTTTTAGTACCTTGTGGAGACTCTGATAATCTGATGTTTTTTAGTTTTTTAATTTTTATCTCTACACTTTAATTTTGAAAAATTTAAAAAATTCTTAAATTTTATAAATTTATGTCATGGTCCTCAAAGTGACACAGCGATTCTCAGTACTTTTCTGTTGTGGCTTGGCTTAAGGAGGAAAACGCAGTAGGAAACTCCTTTGCTACAACCAAGAGTATTTATGTATGGTCTTTTTGCTGTAGCGGGAGCCACTCAGCATTTCTTTCTCTACTTGAAAAATGTGATTTAAGCCCCAACATCAGTATTTTACTCTCTTTAAATAGACCAGTGCTTGTTCCTTGTAGTGTGGTTGTTCGCCGCCTTTGAACGCACTCCCTTCCTGGCGTACGGTGCCGTGCATCATTGCCTTCCTGGTGCCTGGAGGTTCTGTTCCGTGTGAATCTTCACTGTCGTTCCCAGTGTTGGGGTCTCGTTCGATATTAATGGTATTAACAGCAGAAGCTGAAAGGTGGTTACTGCCCAAAGCCACCCTGGATGCGGTCGTCATTAGATCTGCAGTGCTGTGTCTCTGCTTAGGTCTCTGTAGGTCTTGCTTTGCTCCAACAGTTCCATTCTTGCATGTGTAGGACAAGCCGACGTCACAGTAACGAGGAATAAAGGTGAAGAAAACGCCGCTGTATTGTGAGTTCCAGTTGACTGGAGCAGCAAGAATCCAGCAGCTCCAGGGGAAAAAAAAACCAACAATATGTTGTAAATTACAGAAGTGATCTTAAAACAGTCCAGCAAGCGGTGAGCTGTGGGTGGTGCTGAAGGACTCGGGGTCTCCCTCGCGGCGAGCTCGCCGTGCCGGGGCAGTGGGCGAGGGAAGGGTGTCG